TCCTGGCTGCTTCTCCATCTCCTGCTGTTGCCCTTACCTTCTCAGGCCAGGCGAGGAGTGACTGGGAGGGGAGGATGAGGAGCGGAGCGGATCACCCGACAAGGAGCCACATGCAGCTCCGGAGCCGCAGGTTGCCGACACCTGTTCTATGTGTTCTCAACTCTTCTTGGCCACTCAGCTCAATAAAATAAGGACAGATTTTGGAAGAAAAGTCGGTGTTTCTAGAAGACACCCAGGCAAACAGAGCGTTGTAGTGTGGTTTTTCTGAAGCTCAGATCTACCATGGCCATTAATAAGGCCTCCCTGTTAACCTCAGAGACCGCCAGAACATGAGCAAACGGATTTATACTCTTAAGCTGGAGTGTTACCTACGCACAACTCCGAAAAGGTCACGGGGACAAAACTGAGTCAACGATGGCTTCGCCTCTATTACTAGCGAAATGAATCTTGAGCTCAGCTCTTCATCCGAGAAAAACAGCGTTTCTCGAGCCACTTTCCGGTGTGTTGGGTTTCTCTGCCACGGGTGTGTAGATCTTGTTTTCTCACCAAAGGAAACGGCCCTAATTAGGTTTAGCTTTGTAAACTTTGCAAGCGAATTCAAAGAACAAACAACTTTCTCTTGGAAGGCAGCGGATTTGTGTCTCAGGGCTCATTTTCCTTAAAGAGATGCTGCAAAAAAAATCATATTACAATCTCTCTCTCTCTCTCCCTCGCTCCCTCCCTCTCTTCCTCTCTCCCTCTCCCTCCCTCTCTTCCTCTGTCTCTCTCTGTCTGCCTCTGTCTCTCTCCCTCTCTCTCTCCCTCTCTCTGTCTCTCTCCCTCTCTGTCTCGCTCTCCCTGTCTGTCTCCGTCTCTCTCTCTCCCTCTCTCTCTCTGCCTCTGTCTCTCTCTGTCTCTCTCCTCCCTCTCTCCCTCTCTCTCTCCTCTCTGTCTGTCTGTCTCTCTCCCTCCCCCCCTCTCTCTCTCCCTCTGTCTCTGTCTCCCTCTCTCTCTCCCTCTCTCTCTCTCTCCCTGTCTCTGTCTCCCTCTCTCTCTCCCTCTCCCTCCCTCTCTCTCTCCCTCTCCGTCTCGCTCTCCCTGTCTCTCTCTCTCCCTCTCTCTCTCTGCCTCTGTCTCTCTCTGTCTCTCTCCCTCTCTCTCTCTCCCTCTCTGTCTGTCTGTCTCTCTCCCTCCCCTCTCTCTCTCTGCCTCTGCTCTCTCTGTCTCTCTCCTCTCTCTCTCTCCCTCTCTCTCTCTGCCTCTGTCTCCCTCTCTCTCTCTCTGCCTCTCCCTCCCTCTCTCCCTGTCTCTCTCCCTCTCCGTCTCGCTCTCCCTGTCTCTCTCTCTCCCTCTCTCTCTCTGCCTCTGTCTCTCCCTCTCTCTCTCCCTCTCTGTCTGTCTGTCTCTCTCCCCCTCCCCTCTCTCTCTCCCCCTCTGTCTCTGTCTCCCTCCTCTCTCCCTCTCCCTCCTCTCTCTCTCTCTCCCTCTGTCTCCGTCTCTCTCTCTCCTCTCTCTCTCTCTGCCTCTGTCTCTCTGTCTCTCTCCCTCTCTCTCTCTCCCTCTGTCTGTCTGTCTCTCTCCCTCCTCTCTCTCTCCCTCTGTCTCCCTCTCTCTCTCTGCCTCTCCCTCCCTCTCTCCCTCTCTCTGTCTCTCTCCCTCTCTGTCTTGCTCTCCCTGTCTGTCTCCCTGTCTCTCTCTCTCCCTCTCTCTCTCTGCCTCTGTCTCTCTCTGTGTCTCTCTCCCTCCCTCTCTCTGTGTCTCTCTCCTCTCTCTCTCTGTCTGTCTGTCTCTCTCCCTCCCTCTCTCTCCCCTCTGTCTCTGTCTCCTTCTCTCTCTATCTCTGCCTCTGTCTCTCTTTCTGTCTCTCTCTCCAAACAGCGCTGATCAAAATGGTTTTGTCCTCACCTAATTCTGGCAGCCAATTTCCATTTGCTTAATATAGTCATGATATTTCACCACGGTAATTATACCCTTAGCTATCAGTAACAATTAAACCCTTAGACTTGGAGTTGTTTAATAAAGGTCTCCTGGAAAAATATATATATAATATATATATATATATATGTATATCTGTTGCACATTTTGAACAGCAGGCTTTTTAAATGTCAAGGAGGCAGGTAATGTTTTCTGATGAATATAATGATGAAACGTACCATCCAGCAGCCTCAGTTATTCCCCTTCAATAGAAAGTGACAGGAATATTACATCTGAAGTGGGGAGCAAGCCTCATCATCGCTTTAATAGAAAAGGTATTAGCAAGAATGGGAGATTGCAAAAGAAGAAGAAAAGGGGGGGAAAAAAGACATTGAAGCATGAACCTTGGAACTGGTGCATTTCGTTTTGGAAAAATAATGTCATTTGCAAAGAAACAGACTCCCTGGGCATTGTTTCACCCCCTTCTCCTGAACAGGTGGAAGCACGAATAAGACACAGAAACCAGCAAAGAATGGTGATGCCGGGCAGGGGTTGCTTATGTTTAAAAAGGGAAAAGTTCTAGTCCTCATGATCGCAGAGAAGAGCCTAGGGATGAGAAGGTGAAGGGAGATCAAGAATGAGGGCGTGGCTTCCTTTGCTAGGAGGGAGGGAGGGAGGTTTTTAAGAAGAGACAGGAAAGAAGGAAAGAAGAAAGGAAGGAAGGAGGCAGGCAGGGAGGGAGGTTTTTAAGAAGAGACAGGAAAGAAGGAAGGAAGGAGGGAAGGAGGGAGGGGAAAGGAGGGGGAGGAAGGAAGGAAAAGAGAGAGAAAGGAAGGGAGGAAGGAAAAGAGAGAGGAAGGAAGGGAGGGTCGGAGGGAGGGAGGAAGGAAAAGAGAGAGAGGAAAGGAGGGAGGAAGGGAGGAGGAAAAGAGAGAGGAAGGAAGGAAGGAAAAGAGAGAGAGGAAAGGAGGAAGGAAGGAAAAGAAGAGGAAGGAAGGAAGGAAAAGAGAGAGGAAGGAAGGAAGGAAAAGAGAGAGAGGAAAGGAGGGAGGGAGGGAGGAAGAAAAAGAGAGAGGAAGGAAGGAAGGAAAAGAGAGAGAGGAAAGGAGGAAGGAAGGAAAAGAGAGAGGAAGGAAGGAAAAGAGAGATGAAGAAAGGAAGGAAAAGAGAGAGAGGAAAGATGGAAGGGAGGGAGGGAGGAAGGAAAAGAGAGAGAGGAAAGGAGGGAGGGAGGGAGGAAGGAAAAGAGAGAGGAAGGAAGGAAGGAAAAGAGAGAGAGGAAAGGAGGAAGGAAGGAAAAGAGAGAGGAAGGAAGGAAGGAAAAGAGAGATGAATGAAGGAAGGAAAAGAGAGAGAGGAAAGATGGAAGGGAGGGAGGGAGGAAGGAAAAGAGAGAGAGGAAAGGAGGGAGGGAGGAAAAGAGGAAGGAAGGAAGGAAGGAAGGAAGGAAGGAAGGAAGGAAGGAAGGAAGGAAGGAAGGAAGGAAGGAAGGATGGCAGAAAAGGCTAACCTAGATGGGAACAAAGAATAAAGATCCTTTTCGCTTTATTTTAGCAACAAACCAAGTTTGTCGCCGAACGTTATTAAGGAAGCATTTCAGCCACCCGTTCATCCCAGCGTCCATTCCAGCTATTCTGACAGGGGAATTTGAGTTTGGAACTCAAACTCATACCAGCCCCGATTTGGAGAAAGCACTGATTCGTTGTAGGTTCTGAGAACATTTGTTTAAAAAATTATTTATAAGCTATTATATCATCGTCTCTAAACAGCCTAGGGCTTTCCATTCTGAGGTCTTCCCCACCTCCCTTCTTCTCTCTTTTTAGTGATGCTTACATCAACTGCTCCAGCCGTAGGACATGCTAATTAGATCATTAAATATCAGTCTCGGTTCTAAAGCTTCCAGGGCAAAGTTATTATTTTTAACAGGTAATATATTTTTGCTCGATTTCATATTAAATTATGTGATCGTTTTCGTTTAATTAAAACAAAACCTTTTGTCTTAGGTCGGGAAGGAAAGCTTCGATGAGGGAAGCTGTGTTAGATGGCTCCGTTTCCTGGAAAAACCAGTTGCAAAATTGAGAAATAAATAAGCCAGCCATCATGAAATGGATCTACCCCGTAAGTGGCAAAGTGAAACATAGGCACACTGAGACGTTAGAGAACTGACAATAAGAGATGGTTAGACGGCTAAAATCAACTCAGGAAGCTCAAACTGCCCAAGGAGCTGCTGATCCAGTTCTACAGAGGAATGATTGAGTCTGTCATCTGCACCTCCATAACTGTCTGGTTTGGTTCTGCAACCCAACAAGACAGACAGAGACTTCAGAGGATCATTAGAACTGCAGAAAAAACATGGCTACCAACCTGCCTTCCATGGAGGACCTGTCTACTGCACGAGTCAAAAAGAGGGCTGGGAAAATATCTACAGACCCCTCGCATCCTGGACACAAATGGTTTCAACTCCTACCCTCAAAACAAGGCTGCACACCAGAACAACTAGACACAAGGACAGTTTTTTCCTGGATGCCATCACTCTGCTAAATGAATAATTCCCTCAACACTGTCAAACTATTCACTAAATCTGCACTACTATTAATTTTCTCATTGTTCCCACCACCCATCTCCTCCCACTTATGATTGCATGACTGTTAACTTTGTTGCTTGTATCCTTACGATTTATATTGATATTTTTTCCTGATTGCTTATTTCTACCCTATGACTATCATTAAGTATTGTACTTTATGATTCTTGATGAGTGTATCTTGTCTTTTTATGTACACTGAGAGCATATACACCAAGATAAATTCCTTGTGTGTCCAATCACACTTGGCCAATAAAAGAATTCCATTCCATATTCCATTCCATTCCATTCCCTCCTATATCTATTCTATTCTATTCTATTCTATTCTATTCTATTCTATTCTATTCTATTCCATTCCATTCCATTCCATTCCATTCCATTCCATTCCATCCCATCCCATTCTATAATCCATATTTCCAAGTCTGGAACATCTAGCAAGTAAGAACCCTCAATTTCACCAGATTTCCCACGGAGAGGAGGACAGGAAAAACGTCACATCCTGGGTTCCTCCCCCGAGAAGACTTACCTTGATGAGAAGCTGCATGTGTTTCTGGAGATATTTAACCATGGTTTCTTGCTGCTCACGCTTCTTCTTTTCTTCCAGGAGCTGGCTCTGAACCTTCAACAACTCTTCTTGCAGTTGTTTCCGCGCGTTCTCCAACAGCCGGGCGCTAAAAGAAAGGAAGAAGGGAAATTGAAGGAAGGAAAAGTAAAGTAATTGGGGGGGGGCGCAACGGAGCTTAGGAGAAAAGCATCCAGAAGTGGGAAATGGTTGCTATTTGTTCCCAAGGTCCAAAGTATTCCTTGCTTGCTCCGTTGGGAATATAGTAGCGGTTGATTCTCACGGATGGTTGTTAAAAACATTTGTGTTTCAATTTTGACATGGGTGTAAAGAAGATTTTCGAGGCGCCCTAATGGAGCTCCTGGTTCTACGGCTGAAACATTGAGCCTAAATTTGGATATCAGTGATTGCACGAGCTCTGTAGATGCCATCTGCTAAATAAAATAAATAGAATAAAAGAAGGGACCTTGGAGGTCTTCTAGTCCAACCCCTGGCCAGGCAGGAAACCCTCCACCACTTCAGACAAATGGTTATCCAACATCTTCTTAAAAATTTCCAGTGTTGGAGCATTCACAACTTCTGGAGGCAAGTTGTTCCACTGATTCATTGTTCTCACTGTCAGGAAATTCCTCCTGAGTTCTAAGTTTTTTCTCTCCTTGATGAGTTTCCACCCATTGCTTCTTGTCCTGCCCTCAGGTGCTTTGGAGAATAGCTTGACTCCCTCTTCTTTGGGGCAGCCCCTGAGATATTGGAAGACTGCTCTCATGTCTCCCCTGGTCCTTCTTTTCATTAAACTAGACATACCCAGTTCCTGCAACCGTTCTTCATATGTTTTAGCCTCCAGTCCCCTAATCATCTTTCTTGCTCTTCTCTCTTGCACTCTTTCTAGAGGCTCTAGAAGATATACATCTTTTGTATATCGTGGCAACCAAAACTGAATGCAGGATTCCAAGTGTGGCCTTACCAAGGCATCATAAAGTGGTATTAACACTTCATGTGATCTCTCCTTAGTTCTATAAAGGAGGTCTTCTCGAAGGCCACCCAAAAATTATCTTTATAGCAAGCTGAATGGCTTACATGGATCCCTTACACATAGATACACATACCTGAAAAACTGTCCTTCCACTTGCCCAGTTTCTCTTTTTTTTCCCCAGATCTCTAAAAACTCTCTCTGCTAGCAGTTCATCCAATTCTTTTCCCCCTTAAATCTTTCAATGAATTAAAAGGCTCTATGTAAGCAGCAGCTCAATTTGAAGCTATTCATACACCAATTTAATAGTCTGTAAAACAGATTCTTTCCACTGTGGCCGTCAGGTGGAGAGGCTAATCGCGAAGGCTATAAATCTACTGTGAAAAATGACTAATTCAATAACTACAACACTACCAGGCCTCTGTGTGTCCCCCCTTCCCCCCCTCCCCACCATTTTAATTAATTAGTTACACGGAGAATGGAACCTTTGCCACCGAGTAGAATGTAAGGGGTTGTGTTAGACTATTATGAACGATGGGATTTCAAGCGCGTTGGTGTCTTGGAAAATCTCAACTTCCCCTGCAAAGATTTCAAAACACAGATGGAAGAACCCAATTTTATGCATGATTATTCCTGGATAAACTAGCTGGGAACGACACCACTGAGCAAAGAGAGAGAGGAGAAAGACCGTGAGCGTCAGACGCAAAATTGGATTTGCAGGGAATTTTCGTCCTGACGCTGAACAGGATTCGTTGAGAATCCAGAACTGGCAGCAGCCCCAACATAACTCTGGAACGCCTCGAGCAATTTCAACCAAACTTGGTACACAGATGACTGACTCTCTGGAAACAAATACTGTGGGGGGTAAGATACCCCTAACACCCCTTGGTGGGTATGTGTGTATGTTCCAGCATAACTCTGGAACGCCTGGGCGACTGAAATGAAAAGAAATGAATTATATCTATAATGTCAAATCACGGTACTTTTGACAGTGATAGTGTGCCTTTTGGATTCAAGTTCTGTTAAGATACAGCCTGTTGTGCCTTAAAATGGCTTCTACTGTACAGCACAGTGGAGTTGCCATGGTAACGGCTTCACAGTACTCCACAAGGGGGCTCCCTCTGGTAAGGGGGGGGTTCGTTCTTGGGGGTAAAAAAACCCTGGGCAACGCCAAGTTATCAGGTAGTCTCTAATAAAATGGAACTTTGAGGAACTTCTAGCCTCGGAGTCTTCTTTCACTTTAAAGGGGGGGTGGGGTGGCAGAGACAGCTTTTCCAAGTGTCCACAGGGGACCCAGAGGCATTTTTTAAAAAAAGAAATAAATAAAAGCAATACAGGTAACCCTCGACTTACAACAGTTCATTTAGTGACCATTCAAAGTTACAATGGCGCTGAAAAAAAACTGACTTAGGACCATTTTTCACCCTTACGACCGTTGCAGCATCCCCTGTGGTCATGTGATCAAAATTCGGCCGCTTGGCAACTGACTCACATTTATGACCATTGCAATGTCCAGGGGTCACGTGATCCCTTTTTGGCGACCTTCTGAGGAGCAAAGTCAATGGGGGAATCCAGATTTACTTAACAACCGTGTGACTTGCGGTGATTCACTTAAGAGCGGTGGCCAGAAAAGTCATAAAAATGGGGCAAAACAAACGTCTCGCTTAGCGACAGGAATTCTGGGCTCAACGGTGGTCGTAAGTCGAGGATTGCCTGCAGAGAGTGCGATCCGATGCTTGCTTTGAAGGATGCCCTCTTGCTGGAACTTTAAATTTACTGTGTTTCCCCGAAAATAAGATTGGGTCTTATATTAATTTTTTGCTCCAAAAGACACATTAGGGCTTATTTTCTGGTTAGGTCTTATTTTTGGGGGGAAATACAGTACTAAATGCACCTATCTGGGTGACAATCTTAACTGGGGCTTATTTGGGGGGTAGGGCTTATATTACGAGCATCCTGAAAAATCATGCTAGGACTTATTTTCCAATTGGGTCTTATTTTCGGGGAAACAGGGGATTGTATCACCCATCTCGTTTTGGAGTCACTCTGGACAGCTCCAGAGATCAAATACAAAGGGTTAAAACATTGAAATAAACAGAGATTAAATAAATTTAAAAAAAGCAAACCAAACCAAACAAAGGATGGAAATGAGAAACTTCTACTTTTGATAAAATAATATTCTGTAAACAGCTAAGCCCTCTGCAGCAAATCTTTTAAAAAGGCCCAGCAACCTTCGTTACAGGTGTTTTGGCCTTCGGTCCCATAACGTGGGACTAAAAACTCTCCAAACGACGGGAAATCTCGAATTCTATGCTCTTTGATTCAACCATTAGAGAGCTGGGTATAAAAGCTCGAACCAGGATGTCAACAGCTACAGAAGAAACCCATTTATTGGCTGGATAAATGTCCCACTCATTAAAGGCCACACGATCTGAACCCTTTTCATTTTGTAGTTTTTTTTGTGTGTGTGTGTTTTGTTTTTTCAAAACTCATAAAAAATTAAACCCTACATCTGATAGCTCCGTTGAACCCTGGCCTTGGTGGCATTTTCAGAAGCCTTTGCAAGTTCAAAGTATATTTTCCTGGGCTTAAAATAGAGAAGAGGGGGGGAAAAAAACCCCATTCCTGTTTATCGCCTCAATAACGTCCTTGGATGCTGTAAATCTAACGATTCGAACTAAGGGGGAAGAAACTTCGGGTTTTTAAAGTCGCTGGGAAATGTCTTGCGGTCCCTTTTTATTCCCCTTTTCTTTGGAATAATTTCGAGGATAAAACTCCCATTTTTTTAAAAAAAAAAATGTTGTTAGCCTTGCCAAGTACGAGAGAACACAATGAATACAGACGCACTAAGATGCATTTTAATAGCTTCTTTCTCAAAAAAACACGCTCCGGGATATTCAAAATTTCATTTATCTTCGACAAGGATTTCTTTTAGGAAGTAATTCAAGCACCCTGAAGATAGAGAGTGTGTTTGATTTAAAATAAAAGGCTGCTATGCTTTAACTGCAGTGTTGGAAGATGAGAGAAACATTGGGTACGGTATTGGGGGGGGGAAGACACAGAAGCTGGGGTTCAACTGGCCTCCTACCAGGACGCAGCTTCATCGACATGCCAAGGAAGATAAGCCAACTCTCCCAAAATTATAGCCGAGACAAGAACATCTAATGAAGTCAGCCGCGTGAGATGCGATCAAATGAAACGAAACCACAGAGGTGGAAGAAACATTAAAGTCCCGTTTCCTTGGTCCATGCAACAGTCTCAAGTTCTTTTCCAAACCAAGAGATCTGGAAGACGGTTCCTAAAATAGGTGGCCTTGGAAATATAAGAGATGGAGAATCTCTGGTTGAGGCTACCTTGTTAGGGTGTCAGTTCTTAGGACAACAGGAGGAGGAGGAGGAGGAGGAGGAGGAGGAGGAGGAGGAGGAGGAGGAAGAGGATGACGACTGTGGGGTCCTTGGTACTCTCTGAGCTTGGTTGTTTTTTTACAGACGTTTATGACCTAACTAAGCAACTTTATCAGTGCTAGAAGGGAGTGGGTATTTGTAGAGAGGAGGAGGAGGAACAGGAGGACGAGGAGGAGAGAGGAAAAAGAGGAGGAGGAGGAGAGAGGAAGAGGAGGAGGAGGAGGAGGAGAGAGGAAGAGGAGGAGGAGAGAGGAAGAAGAGGAGGAGGGAGAGGAGAAGAGGAGGAGGAGGAGAGAGGAAGAAGAGGAGGAGGAGGAGAGAGGAAGAGGAGGAGGAGAGAGGAAGAAGAGGAGGAGGAGGAGAGAGGAAAAGAGGAGGAGGAGGAGAGAGGAAAAAGAGGAGGAGGAGGAGAGAGGAAGAAGAGGAGGAGGAGAGAGGAAGAAGAGGAGGAGGAGGAGGAGGAGAGAGGAAGAGGAGGAGGAGGAGGAGAGAGGAAAAAGAGGAGGAGGAGGAGAGAGGAAGAGGAGGAGGAGGATAGAGGAAAAAAAGGAGGAGGAGGAGAGAGGAAGAGGAGGAGGATAGAGGAAAAAGAGGAGGACGGGGAGGAGAGAGGAAGAGGAGGAGGAGGAGGAGAGAGGAAGAGGAGGAGGAGGAGAGAGGAAGAGGAGGAGGAGGAGAGAGGAAAAAGAGGAGGAGGAGAAGAGAGGAAAAAGAGGAGGAGGAGGAGAGAGGAAG